TAACTCAAATGCATCAATTCTTCTATGGTCTTCCTTATTCACTGTCCGGCTTTCACATGCATATGAGGTTATTGAAAATACCATGGCTTGGGTCAGGGACACCTTAGTCCTCAAGCTGACATCTTTGCTCTTCAACACTTTAAAAAGGTCTTGTGCAGTAGACTTGCCTAATGCAATACATCGTTTGATTTCTTGACTGCTCCGTCCATGAGTGTTGATAGCTGATCTGAGAAGAATGAAGTCCTTGACAACTTCAATCTTTTCTCCATTGATAAGCATGTTTTTTATTGGTCCAGTGGTGAGGATTTTTGTTTTCTTTACATTAAGATGTAATCAATACGGAAGGCTATGCTCTTTGATCTTCATCAGTAAATATTTTAAGTCTTCTTCACTTTCAGCAAGCAAGGTTGTTATCTTCTGTATATCACAGGTTGTTAATGAGCCTTCCTCAAATCTTGATGCCATGTTTTTCTTCATATAACCCAGCTTCTTTTCATTTACTTCAGTTTCAGTTGGAATTTACATATAAGCAATTGATGGTCTGTTCTACAATCTTCCTTAGCCTTGGTTTGACTGATGATATGGAGCTTTTCCATCGTCTCTTTCCTCAGATGTAGTCAATTTGATTTCTATGTAATCCATCTGTATAGTCATCCCTTGTGCTGTCTATAGAAGGTGTTTGAAATGAACAAATCATTGGTTTTGCAGAATTCTATCATGCATTCTCCAGCATCATTTCTATCACCAAGGCCATATTTTCTAACTACTGATCCTTCCTATTTGCTCCCAACCTTTGCATTCCCATCACAAGTAATGATCAATATATCTTGATTGCATGTTTCATCAATTTCAGATTGAAGAAGTTGGTAGGATTTTTCTGTTACATCCTCACTGGCTTTAGTGGTTGGTGTGTAAGTTTGAATAATAGTGGTATTAACCGGCCTTCCCTATAGGCGCATGGATATTATCCTATCATAGTGTTGTACCTCATGACTGATCTGGATATGTTCTTTTTGTCAATGAATGCAACACCATTCCTCTTCAATTTGTCATTTATGGCATAATAACCCTATATTGTAGGAATCCTTCAATACATAGGAATAATTATCATCATTTTCACCATTATCATCACCATTATAAATATCATCACCACTAGCACTACCACCATCATCATCACAAACATTATCATCATCAACATGGTCACCACCATCATCATCACAACCACCATCAGCATTACCATCACCATCCTCATCAACATAGTCACCATAATCATCCTCATCACTATCACTGTCATCATCACTACCACCATCAATACCACTATCATCAACAATATTGTTGTAATCACCACTATCATCAGCTCCATCATCACCATCACCACCATCACCATCACCACCACCACCATCATAATTGTCACCATTACCACCATAAGCATCATCATCATCATTATTATCTTTACCATCACCATAATCACCATAATCCCCATCATCATCATAATCATTGTCACCATCACCATTGTCACCATTGCCATCATCGTCATCATCTTCATCACCACCATTAAGGAATGCTAAGGTTGGAAGGGTCTCTTTCTGAAATCTGAATCCTAATAGCACTTGGACATTTCCTGAGAATCTGTTCATTTTTATGAGCATTAAAAACATGGTGATGATCATATTTCCAACTTACATCATTGTCAAGACACTCGGAATCAAAATTTCTGCTATAATTAAGAAACCACACAAGAGATTACGATTAACATGCTTGACTTTTTTTTTTTTCATTTTTCTCTTTGATTACATTTGATTTACTTCCACATATTTTTCTTTGGTATGCTGTCTTCTTCTTCCCTACCAGTTTTAATATTTCTGTAAATGACTTAAACTAGAACTTCACTGGATGCTGAAATACATATTTGTTTACCAAATCATGATTGTACAGAGACATGTGCACTCATCCTAAGAAGAAGACACATGGAAGCCTCAGAATTCAGGGCAGGTGGTGGCTTGAGACTTACAGCGGTGGCACGTGGCGCCTGTGTAGCCCGTGCCGTTGCAGTTGCAGTAGAAGGTATTCCATGTCTGGGAGCACTTGCCACCATGCTCGCAGTAGTTGGGTAAGCACCTGAAAGAAGGAGGAGAGACCGTCTCTGTCCCCCCAGGTCATCACACATATAAGTCACCTGAGCTGAAAGTATAAATGCCGTGCAGGATGACAGCAGGCACACACAGGACTAATTCAAGGTTATTAAGGACACTGAAAATTAAGATCCTATGGGTTAATGCCCTGGACTGTAAAGCCAGTTTGAACCACAAGGTTTGGAAGTTCAAGCTCACCAGCTGCTCCTCAGAAGCCCTATAAGGGGTCATTATGGGTCAGAACTGACTTGATGGCACTTAACAACAACAACAACTACAGCACCTCTAAAAGAAAGTCCTGGTATGATGCTGTAGGATAAGCACTGGACTGCCAGCTACAAGGTCAGTGATTCAAATTCATCAGATGTTCCTCAGAAAAAATACAGGATTACTCTGTGTTGGCACTTACTTGACGGTACACAAGGATAACAACCCCTAATAGGAAAGGAGCCTGGTGACATAATGGGTAATGAATGCAAAGCCAGCAGTTCAAGTCCACCAGACGCTTTGCAAGAAAAAGATGAGGCCTTGCTCCCATAAAGATTTAGAGCCTCAGAAACTCTATACAAGGTTATTATTAGTTGGAATTAACCAGATGGGACACAACTACCACCGCCACCATCGCTAGTAGGGAGTCCCTAGATAACACTCTGCTGTTACCCAGAGGTTTGTGATTCAAGTCCACCCAGACTTAGCTCCAAAAGACCTGGTGATCTACGTCTGAGAGATCAGCTATTGAGAACCCTACTGGGCACAGTTCTACTCTGACAGACATCGAGTCAAAACCAGCATGAGGTTATCTGAATGGCTGACCACTCATGCTGAGCTTGAATTAATGCATCTCTCAGCCTCAGGTGATCAGCATGCATTTGTGACAGCTGACCGTCTGGTCTTCCTTTATATTGGTTACAACTACCAAAGAAGCACACTACTTCTATGTCCAGAATAGCAACTGCTTACATAAAATAGTATTGACACGCTATCATATTGAATTACCATACTACGTAAATTTCTAAAGAGAGGAATGGAAGTAAAGGGGATTAGCCATGGTGAGAAATTCAAAAGGAAAGAAGGTAGCAGCCAGAGAAACTCCTGTCTACACACCACCACTAGGCCAGGTATCTAGGCTCATATCATTGTTTCAATTTCCTTGCCATTTAGGTTTAGAATAAAAGGCCATTTGGGAAAAACAGCTCTGTGCACATTGTGTTTTCCCAAGAAGAAACATAAATCAGTAAAAGCTCAAGTAAACTCAACAGCCATCTATGCTTGATAGATATTTTGCCATTTGCTCGATTAAAATCAAGAGACACTTGAAATTCCCCTTGCCAGACTTTTGTGAATCCAAATTGATAAATCTTGTTGATTTTCTTGATTATAAAAAGTGAATATTCACTATCAAATAATAAAACTATTCACAAGAATACAAAAAAGTAAAAATCATCTGAGAGCTAAGCATAAATATATAAAATAAGCACTACACTAATACATGTACATATATTTGTATGTTGCTGTTTGGTTTTGTCGAGCAGGTTCCGACTCATATAGACCCTACACACAACAGACTAAACACTGCGGAGTCCTGCACCATTCTCAGCATTGCTGTTATGTTTGAGTGCATTGCTGCTGTCACTATGCCAGTCCACCTCATGGGGGGGGGGGTGACTTTTTTGCTTAATCCTACATTATATTTTATAACATTCTGATCAGTGAATTGATAATATAGCAATGTACATTTTTATGAAAAAATTTTATTTTATATTAATATTTTTTATGTTGTTGTTGTTAGGTAGCATCAAGTCAGTACTGACTCATAGCAATCCTATGCACAACAGGTCCTGGGCCAACCCCATAATTGTTGCTACACCTGAGCCCTTTGCTGCCGTCACTAGGCCAATCCATTTCATTGGGGATCTTCCTCTTTTCCTCGGACCCTCCACTTTACCAAATTTGATGTCTTTCTCCAGTGACTAGTCCCTCCTGACCATATGTCCGAAGTATGAAAGACAAAGTCTGGCCATCCAGGCCTCCAAGGATGTACTTTTTCCAACACAGACTTGTTTGTTCTTTTGGCAGTCCATTTTTTATAATTCATAGAAATTAATTAACCTTGTTATAATTTATTTCAAATGTCATATATTTGAATTTACTAGGAAGGTCAGCAGTTCAAATCCACCAGGTGCTCCTTGGAAATCCTATACAGGGTCGTTATGAGTCAGAATAGATTTGATGGCACTTATCAACAACAACAGAAGTCTGTTATTATAAAGATAGTTCACATAATATTAAAATCAGTGGCAAAAACAATAAAGTAGTGATTTCCCATAGATATAAGTGGTATGGCATGTTGCGTTTCTTTTTTAACAGACAATAGAGAGACTGTTTTTAGCATGTAAAAAGGTAAGTTACTTTGGTAACTGAAGATGAAGTCTTTCATTCCTGAAGGAAATTATATATTCTAACTGAACTCAATTTCTCAGGCCATAGGCCTTCTATCCAAATATTGTCAATTGAGGGAAGGTCAAGATATGCTTGAATAACAAGTTTGGCTGTTCAAACTTACCAGCCACTCCTTGGAAACCCTATACAGAGTCGCTGAGTAGGAACCACTCAATAGCACTTAACAACAACAATTTTATACATTATAGATAAAATTTTCTTACTTTTTAAAATTAGAAACTTTCCTATTTCCTCTGTGGCAGTACTAGAAGGAGAGAGAGAGCAACAACTTCCCAAATACCAGTCTACCAACTGTGTATTTCTCTGATAATCCGCCGCTGACTTTACAAATACAAGGAAGACAATAAACTAGAACACCATCCTTACCTGTCCAGGATGCCGCACGTGTCTATCTGGAGGTGACTGAAGTTCCCCAGTACTCCCTGCTGTACTGCAAGTAGGTCCACCTCTTGGGTGTTGATAGAGATGTCTCTCAGACATCCCTGGAATCCATAAGGGGCTGGCACACACTCAGACCCAGAGCTGAAAGGGAGGCATGCTGATTGGCCAGACAAGATAAAAGAAGATGATGATTGGACACAGTGCTTCACAGAACATTAGCATGAAAGGCAGCTTGTTCACTCTGCTTACAGAACATAAGACTTAGATTTCCTTTAAATTTATGAGATGTCTTTCCTGTTCAATTGGGAGGGAAGTAGAATAAAGGGTAGAGATTAAAACAGCATTTGGGAATATGAATATGTTATATCATCTATCAAAAGAAAATGAATGTTCCAGATGGAATCAAGACTGCTAATTGGCTGGCTTGAGATGGGGAGATTCTCCTGGACTATTTGAGTGGGCTCCATCTGATCACAAGGGTTCTTAAGAGTGAAGGTGGTTTACCTTGCTATGGCCAGAAAGAGATGCAGCTAAGGGATGAGTGTCAGAAAAAAATGGGGTTTTGCTGTCTTTCAGGTAGAGAAGGGACCATAAGCCAAAGAAGCAGGCAACCTTCAGGTTCTGGAAAAGGCAAAACCACAGATTCTCCCCAAGAACCTCCAGAATGGAACACAGGCCTGTCGGCATCTTGGTTCTAGCCCAATGGAAGCTACATTGGACATCTGGCCTGAAAGTATAAAATAAAGCAGTGTTCTTTTAAGGAACTAAATGTGTGGTCCTTTGTTATGGTGGTGGTTGTATTCTTGTTTGTTTGTTTTTTAAATGTCATTGAGTCAATTCCAACTCATAGCAATCTTATCTAGGGTTTCCAAGGAGTATCTGGTGGGTTTGAACTGCCAACCTGGCATTTAGCAATCCAGTGCTTATGCCAGAATGCCACCCCGGGACTCCTTTGTTGGTGTAGCAATAGGAAATTAATACAAGGAGAGACAGAAAGGAGCAAATCATACTTGAAAAAATTGACTGGATAACATTAATCAGCAGATCCCAGAAGTTAAGCAAACTGCCAACAGGTTAATCACTCTGAGATCCACAGCTAAACAGTTGAAATTCAGACAAAGGAAAAATGAAAGTCTTGAAATCAGCAGGAAAAAAAGAGCACATCCCACTCAGAGAAGCATCAGGGAATTCAGGGCCGATTTCTCATCTGAAATAATGGACGACAGAAAATGGTGGGGTAGCATATTCAAAGTGCTCGTGAAAGTCAATTGTCTTTTTTTTTTTTAAATTCAGGAAAACGACCTCTCCAAAGGAGTCCTGGTGTGGTCCTGTAGAATAAGCACTGGACTGCTGATTGCCTGGTGGATGGTTCTAACTCCCCTGCTGCTTCTCAGAACCCTTAGTCAGGGTCATTACGAGTCAGAACCAACCTGACAGCACTTAGCAACAACATCACTCCAAATGAAGGCAAGATAAAACATTCCAGAAAAATAAAAAGACTGAGAGAACGTGTTGCTAAGCAAGTGTGTTTTAGGAGAAGTACAAAAGGAAGTCATTCAGGATAAAAGGAGAGGAAACCACACAGTAACTCAAATTCACATAATAAATGAATACATGTGGAGAACTGGAAAAGTCCAATATGTGGGTGAATATTAACAATTGGATAAATACACTTTTCTTTTTTCTTTTCTTAACTAATTTAAATGACATAAGATTTCAAAAAGCATTATTTATTAAATGGTATTCTTGGGTTTATATATACCAATAACAGGCAAATGACAGGACAGAAGTAGAGTCACAGTGCAATTTTTTTTTATATTTCACATGAATTAAGTTACTATTAATGTGAATCAGTGTGTGATAAATTAAAATGCACTTTATACTCCCTATGGCAGGGAGTATATAGTGAATTTAAGAAAATGACTAAAAAATAAATTAAAAGCAAAAAATAACTAAAATAATTTAAATGGTACAGAGAACAAAAACCACTTTAGAAATAAAGAAAACATTTGGCAAAATGACATACACAATATGGATGAACTTCAAAATCATTGTGCTAAGTGAAAACAGATGACTCATCGGATGACTCCATTTATATAAAATGTTTGAACAAGTAAAATCAACAAGATCAAAAAAAATAATGGTTGCCTAGGATTGGGGATGGGCATGGGACTTGACTTCAAATGAACATATAGGAAAATTTGGGTTTAATGGAAATATTCTAAAAGTGGATTGTGGTGTTGGATGCACAGCCTTAAACATGTACAAAAAACTGTTGGATCATATACATGAACTCGGAAAACTTTATGTAAAGTATACCTCAATAAAATTTCTTAAACAGTAAACATCTTCATCTTTGTTAAAGTCCTGGAGAATAAGGTGCCCTAATAAAATGACCGTTTTGAATCTGACAACCACATGGTTTACTATGCTGGGAATGACAAATTGAAGAGGAATGGTGTTGCATTCATCGTCAAAAATAACATATTCAGATCAGTCATGAGGCACAACACTGTCTGTGATAGGATAATATCCATGCGCCTACAGGGAAGCCCAGTTAATTCTACTATTATTCAAATTTACGCACCAACCACTAAAGCCAGTGAGGATGAAATAGAAGAATTCTACCAACATCTTTAATCTGAAATTGATTAAACATGCAATCAAAATGCATGGATCATTACTGGTGATTGTAATGCAAAGGTTGGGAAGATCAGTAGTTGGGAAATATGGCCTGGTGTTATAAATGATGCTGGAGATCACATGATAGAATTCTGTAAAATCAATGATTTGTTCATTTTAAATACCTTCTTCAGACAGCATAAGAGATGACTATACACATGGACCTTGCCAGATGGAAAACATAGAAATAAAATTGACTATATCTGCGGAAAGAGACGAAGGAAAAGCTCCATATCATCAGTCAAAACAAGGCCAGGGGCAGGCTGTAGAACAGATCATCAATTACTCATATAGAAACTCAAACTGAAGCTGAAGAAAATGAAAACAAGTCTACGAGAGCCAAAACATGACTTGAATATATTCCACCTGAATTTAGAGATAATCTGAAGAGCAGATTTGATACATTAGACACTAAATACCAAAGACAAGAAGAGTTGTGGGATGACATCAAGAACATCATACAGGAAGAAAGCAAAAAGTCATTAAGAAGACAAGAAAGAAGGAAAAGATCAAAATGGATGTCAGAAGAGACACTGAAACTTGCTCTCCAGTGTAGAGATGCTAAAGCAAATGAAAGAAATGGGGTGGTAAAAGAGCTGAACAGAAATTTTTAAAGGTCAGCTTGAGAAGATAAAGGCAACCATTACAACAAAATGTGCAAAGATCTAGAGTCTGAAAACCAAAAAAGGAAGAACACACTTAGCATTTCTCAAGCTGGGAGAACTGAAGAAATAATTCAACCCTTGACTTTTGTTATTGAAGGATTCTTTGGGCAAATTATTGAATACTGAAGAAAGCATCAAAAGAAGATGGAAGGAATACACAGAGTCACTATACCAAAAGGAAATAGTTAATGTTCAACCGTTTCACATTTCAAGAAGTAGCATATGATCAAGAGCCAATGATAATGAAAGAGGAAGTCCAAGGTGCATTGAAGGAATTGGCAAGGAGCAAGGAACCAGGAATTGATGGAATAAAAAGTGAAGTCTTTAAGAAAATGATGCCACGTTGGAGGCACTTATACATCTATACCAAGAAATTTGGAAGACAAGTATCTGGCTGACTGAGTGAAAGAGTTCTGTATTTGTGCCCATTCCAAAGAGAAGTGACCCAACAGAATGCAGAAATCATCGGACAATATCTTTGATATCCCATGCGAGTAAAATTTTACTGAAGGTAATACAGAAATAGCTGCAAGCATACATTGACAGAGAATTTCCAGAGGTTCACCTGGATTCAGAAGAGGCTGTGGAACAACAGATATCATTGTTGATGTCTGATGGATCTTGCCTGAAGCAGGGAATTTTGAAAGAATGTTTACCTGTGCTTTACAGACTATGCAAAGGCTTTAAATTGTGTGGATCATGACAAGTATTGGACAACATTTTGATGTATGAGTATTCCAGAACACTTAATTGTGCTCATGAGGAATCTTTACATGGACAAAGAGGTAGTTGTTCAAACAGAACATGGGAACACTGAATGGTTTTAAATTAAGAAATGTGTACAACAGTGTTTTATTCTTTCACCATACTTATTCAACTGTATGCTGAGCAAGTAATCCAAGAAACTGGGTTCTACGAAGAAAAATGTGGCATCAAGATTGGAGGAAGACTCATTAACAACCTACAATATGCAGATGATATAACCTTGCTAGCTGAAAGTGAACAAGACTTAAAATATTTACTAATGAAGATCAAAGAGCATACCTAGCTTTTGATGGCAGCTAGGATGGAGGTATAGTGAAGTTCACCGTCAGCCATACCAGAGAATACCAGACAAAGCAGATCCAGGACAGAGCTCCAAAACTTGGAACCACATAGCTAGGAATATTTCTAAAGTTTGAAGGCTTATAGGTAGTGGAACTTGAAGCTGAAGTAAGAAATCACATACTTCTGAATCTGCTGGGTTTGGAGGCCCGGAGCTGACATCTTGGGCAAGACCAAATGGCAAGACCAAGCGGGGGAGCAGGCACACCATGGAAAAATGCCATGGGAACCTTGGAGCATAGGTGGACAATACATTTTGTCAATTTTGCTTTGTTCTGATTTTATTTTATTTTATTATCTAGTCATTGGCACCACCACTGTCTGTGCACTGCCATTCTGGTGACCAGAGGAGTGGTTGATGAGTGGACACCCCCCACCTTCACCACTGGTGGGTTCTTCTGCCATGCATGTGCACAGATACTCAGCCCAAGAGCAGGCTCTGAAGGTTTTTTTGTTTTTTGTTTTTTGTTTTTTTAATACGGAAAAGGGCAAGACAGGGGTGTAGAGAAGGAAAGAGAGTTTAAAAACAAAACATGCTGAAAATTAAATTAAAGCCTGAGGTATAGCATAACAACCAACACTGGCATCTTGAAATCTCTCAGGCAGCTTTGAAAGCAAGAAGCTGAAAAGAGGGCATTAAAGTCATACTCATACTAGGCTACAGATTTATTTTTTGTTTTCTTTTATCCCTCCTTTCCCTTTTCTG